AGGGATAAAACAAAACGTAATAATTGTAAGTTAAAGTCATCCAACTATGTTCAAATTAACAAGAATTAGAACAAGCAACCATCTATACCATGACCACAGACACAAACATCCTTAATACTCTGATCAAATCCTTAGAAACTATATATATATCACAAATTTGACGTCGAATAGCTCAAAAAGATGTCAAGGAATGGATTATACAGGCCTGCGATAGTTTTATTATCTTGAAATGTTTACATGTTCTACAGTAATTCCTATACGCTAAATCCGAAACTTTTCACAAAACGTCATAACGCAATACATAAAAAGACTACAACACGTAGTTTTGAGACTAAAAGACGTAGATTTCACACACAAAAATCTGGATGAATGAGGATGTATATTCGTTTGACATCAATGTTCTTTCCTTTTCCTCAGTTTGTTTTTGTATTTTTGTTAACAAACATAGTAATAAAAAATGTTCATTGTGGTAAACGAAATAATAATTTGATCTAAGTAAGAGTTAGTTATTCTTCCCGATTTGTAAACATGTCTTACGTGATACAAAAAAATGAACATTATTTTCGAAATCTGCGTAGCTGAATTATGGAAAAACCTTTATTAAAACCAAAATAACTTTTATGAAGTTTAAATTCACAGGCCTGTGTTATCAACACATTCCTAATCTCAATAGCTGAAACCTTAAAATTCGTGATGTCAAAGCCAAACCAGTAATATAATGAAATTCGGTTGTCAGGCATTTGTTTATAACTTGAAATTCATATTGATATAGCCCATATTTATCAACCCCAGAATCTATTACAATCCATATTCACATCAATAAAAGAACATACAAGTTCATATGCTGAAAAATTTGTCTGAAAAAATACAAAAATTATAATATTTTCTTAGAGAAAGTAATATCAAAATAATATGTATTATAAAACGTTATAGCCAAATATTGTAGTATATTTAAACCAAATGGTAATAATACTTACAGGAAATATAAACTCTTAAGCAGTTATACTATCCACATGAAGGATAAGTTCTTAAACAGTTATAATATTCACATGAAGAATAAGCTATTAAACAGTTATACTATACACATTAAAGATAAACTCTTAAACAGTTATACTATTCATATGAAGGATAAGCTCTTAAACACTTATATTATCCCCATGAAGAATAAGCTTTCAAGCAGTTGTAAGCTCTTAAACAGTTATATTATCTACTTGAAGGATAATCTCTTAAACAGTTATACTATTCATGTGAATGTTAAGTTCTTAAACAGTCATACTATTCATATGAAGGATACGCTCTTAAACAGTTATATTATTTGCCTGAAGGATAATCGCTTAAACAGTTATGCTATTCACATGAAGGATAAGCTCTTAACAGTTACACTATTCATATGAAGGATAAGCTCTTAAACAGCTACACTATTCATATGAAGAATAAGCTCTTAAACAGTTATACTTTAAAAACGTTGTACTATAAATATGAAGGATAATCTCTTAAAGAGTTATATTATCTACTCGAAGGATAATCTCTTAAACAGTTATACTATACATATGAAGAATAAGCTCTTAACCAGTTATACTTTTAAAACGTTGTACTATAAATATGAAGGATAATCTCTTAAAGAGTTATATTATGTACTCGAAGGATAATCTTTTAAACAGTTATACTATTCACATGAAGGATAAGCTATTAAACAGTTATACCATTCATATGAAGGATAAGTTCTTAAACAGTTATATTATCCTCATGAAGAATAAGCTCTTAAGCAAATATACTTTTAAACAGTTGTACTGTTCACAGGAAGGATAAATTATTAAACAGATAAACTATTTACGTGAACGTGTACCTCATCAGACATGGATATTACTTAAATTGCCCCAAAGTCTGGCTATTGTTTGTCTCTGCTATGAAAACAATCTGAAGTAAATGAAATAATATAAAATTGTGTAATTAATGTTACAATTTTAATGAGTAATTTATTTTATTAATCATTTTAATCTAAGTTACTTTAGAATTATGATAGTCTAAACATTTTTTATTAAATATTTCACACTCTGTAGAGAAATGAGACATGCGAAAAACAATCTAATATAAATAAAACAAAATGTGATGAACAAGTTCAACTTTACGTTACTAATAACTATGGGTAACATTGGAAACAACAGTGAATAAATATTGCATTAAACATGAATAATAAAGTAAAGAAGTCAACACTTGTATCACAAAAATAATATGAAAGTTAATGAAAATAAGTTTCAAACAAAGAAACAAATATCAAACACTCTATAAGAATAGGAAATACCAAATAATCCAACAAAATCATATGCTGAACCAGATCTCAAATAATGTAGAGTGACTGTTTTTCTTCAAGACGTGAGCGCAGCAATTCAGATAAAAGTAATAAAAGATAAATTAACGTGTCTAAGTATAACTTTTATAATATAGGCCTACCCTAAAGTCTTGTGACAAGTATAGTGGATTATAATCAGGCTTCACCAGCTTGTGAAAGTCATTCACACCGTAGTAATTGTTATTCTAGCAAATGGCCTATGTTAACAGTATTCAGATCACTACAGTGTTTGTTGTATCTCAGCCGGCCTGAAGAGCACTGGATTGAGCGAAAGGCGTAGTCGGCAATGGATATGAAATGCTATTATTATACACTCTTCTCGTGCAACTTCCTAAGGGACTAGATTAAGAATATAGTGTTCATATATATATATATATATATTATGGGCCTCACATAATGTCTTATGACAAGAATAATGGATTATAGATTTTATTTAGTTTAATTTTGTGCAACGTTTTGGGCAGACGCCTTTTGTCTGGCACTAAATACCACGTTACATTGAAACTACGCTGAGAAAGAATCATTGTGGGGTTCTAATTACACACTCACAAAGGTTCTACGTGGAGCACATTAGCAAAAATATCATTTTTTTTCATTTGTTTTGCAAACACTTTGCACTAGAAAGGCATTGTGACTACCATTCTTTTGTTCTCTATGAAACCAAGGTTGCTGTTTTTAAAGGACAGGTCACAGTACTGAGGACCAAGAATTTCTCTGCAAAACGTACTGAGATGGTCGGATTTTTCAAACAACGTAACTACCCGGCTGACGTCATCAAAACCTCCACAACCACATACACACTGTATCAAATAACCAGCGCCACCCAACCTAAGAACCAAAGCCAAAGCGATAGAATACCCTTGATATTTACATACCATCTCCTAAACAAGTTCGTAATAAATCTCACACTAAAAACGTTTAATCTACTCAAGAACGACTACTAACATATTCACTCTTCTTCCTTCTTTACACCTTAATCCCATCTAGATTTTGGGTCGACCGCGCGGATATTTTATGTTAACCAAGAAGTTTTACGCCCTGATAGTAATCCTAAAGGGTGAACTCGTGACCCGCAAATTGCGAGTCGAATGCAATCAATGCTAACATATTCACTGCTCTTCCTTTAATCTTTTATAGACGTAATCCCAACCTTAAAAAAAAACATTTGTTGTACTCTAAGCTATAAAAAAACAAACAATTCCCACACTATTGGAACTCAGCAATGTTTCAAACAACATTATAATAACTGGCCCTAGTTCCATGTTGGGGACATTACGAATGGATATGAGAATATATTATTTTGCTTGGAGACGGCTTGAATGGGTAATAAAGAAAAACTTTAATATATGTTTAACATAACAGCAAAAGTACAACGTTTCGACAAGGGTTTGTCATCAGGTTTAGATGACACTAGTTTGTTCAAACAAACCTACAGACAGACCACAATACCTTCACTATAAAAACTGCCACCTCTTTCACACTAAACGAAAGCTCTAAGAATAAAGAAAATATACTCAGATCAAACAGACCACAGAAAACACACCAAGGATAAAGATAAACAAAAAAAACATGTTACAAAGACGATATTAAGATACCGAAATCGACAGACAAATTGAAAAGGCTAACAACACTCAACGGAAGAATATCCTAAATCAGAGCAATACTAAACTTTCAAGTAGAATTTCTCTTATTATTTCCTATCAGTTTAAACTCAGAAACGTTTCAGAACTTCTGAAAATCATTTTCATCTCCTACAGTTTAAAAATCTTCTTAAACGGATATTTTCTGAAGTCCCCATTGTCTCCTTCCGAAAAAGCAGAACTCTAAAATATGTTCTTGTTGACAAAAAAATGAATTACATCCCACCCAAAAATGGTTGTCGTCCATGCAATAAAGCTCGTTGACAAACCTGCAAGTTTATAAAAACCACTGACTCATTTTCTGACAAGCACAATCAAAGAAGCGTTAAAATATCCAAAGAAATCACTTGTAAAACAAAAAATACCATTTACCTTATACTGTGTAAAAAATGCAATCACTAATATGTAGAACACACACAAACAACTCTTGGAGAACGTTCTCATAACCATAACTCTTCTATTAACACCGAAAAAGATCTCCCTGTTGCTCAACACTTTAACCAACTCGGTCATTCCATTAACGATGTTACTCTCATCGGCACTGAAACAGGATTCAAAACTAAAGCAAATAGAGAAATAAAAGAAGCTTATTGGATTGCTAATCTAAACACTGTTCAACTTTCGGAATTAATCTAGATCCTGGAATCAGTGATCTCCATTCATTGGTTTCATCTCTGTCAAATAAATATTTTTTATTCTTTGCTTATTTTTTCTATGTAATGTGAGCGCTGAATTTCCTAAAACTTACTGTTTATTTAAAATAATTTTTCTTATCTGTTTTTGTTATAAATTGATTAGAATAACATATCTTTTTCAATCAATCTCCAGGTGTCACCTTTATTCTACTACAACATTTAAGTATAGTTTTAAATTTACATATATATTTAGCCATTTCTAAAGTAAAATATACCTAACACCCTTTCACATACACTCTCGCCATCGGCTACATTGTACCGGAAATTGTACTAGAATATGATGTCACCAGGAAGACTGCTACATACAAAGACTGTTTACAATTTTACTTTTAAAGCATTTCTGACGAGACGAGAAGCTTTAGGTTGTCCACTGAGCCTTGCTCCGTGAGTTGTTGAAAAATAGCTTGGGTGAGTAGCTTCACCTGCAAACAACAGTCGCAGATTGGTAACAGATGGTAAAGGAGTAGCTAGAATATCGATGTCGCCTGGGAGACTGTTTGGAGTTAAGAAGCTGTACGAGCCACCGAAAAGAATATCGGAACACCACTTTGAACGGAGGATTCTTACAGGGCTTGGAATGCTTGGATCATTCAGGAATCGGCGTAAACATGTAGTACAGGTCTCTATAATTTCCTCATCAGATACTTTCTTCACGTACTCACTGTGAGGACCAGCGATCCAACCAAGAAGAACTTTGGGATTATTTAGAACTTCTTCAAATCCACTTACTGAAGCTATCCACTGGTTAGGATCTATTTTCATCTTCTCCCATTCTGCCTTGTCCCAAGCTAGATGCAGATATGTTAAGTCTCCTACTTTCCAAAAGGGTCGTTCGAATTCAAGGAAAATTTTACCAACTAGACCAAAGCCTGTTCTTACGATTGCTTCAAGATTTTGACGGGGTAAAGAAGGGTTAAACATAGAAGTGCATTTCTTTTTCAGAACACCCAATGGAACAGTCAAGATAACATGATCTTCTTCAAACACTTTACCATTCAGACAAGAAACCTTACATTTTGGATCAGTCCAATTTATCCGAAAAATTTCATGGCTATGTTTCAAAACACCCTCAGGCAGAGAATTAACTATAACATCCAGAAGAGATGTGTATCGTAAAGGATGTTTAATATCTCCCCCAGGTATAACTTTATAATTTTTCATGGTCTGTAAAGAAATTCTTTCTAAAGAATCACCTTCATAAAATTCAAGATAATTTTTGAAATAACTGAACATTGAATGAAAAAGATGGCGTTCGTCAGGATTAATTGTTTGCACCATATCTTCTTCGCGCTGACTTATAAATTCTTGAATACTTGTATCACCAGGACATTTTTTCCAAACAACTCATTTCCTTCTCCAAATTATGGAACGTACCGTAAATCTTTTTACTCATTTCTTTTTCAACCATAGATCCAAATGAGGTCACAAAATAACCATTATCTCGCTCAGTATACTTAATGTTTCCAAGAAGAAGTCCATACTGAACGGCTAAATTAAAGACCGGATTTGTTAACTTTTTTTTTCACAAAATATGCCCAATGGCTCAATGGAAATTCTGAAGGCTTATAACGCTAAAAACCAGGTTTAGATACTCGTGGTAGGCACAACACAGACAGCCCATTGTGTAGCTTTGTGCTTAACAACAAATAAAAAATTCAACTAAACACTCGTCAGCTTCTGATTATTAAAGGTAACAACATTGAATGCAATCTATCTTTTTGACCATTTTTTATGACATTTTTGGAAAGCTGTAGGAAACTATACAATGTAAACCAAATGGACAGATGTGGTATTTCCTGAGAAAGTAGTTTATGCTTTACCAAATACCCCCGTATTGTACTTACTTTTTATTCGTAATCTTTCAACCATAAGCTTTTATTTTAATGTTATTTAATACAACAATTTTTACTTTAATCATCGTATAATATTATCTATTCCTTTAGATGACTTTAAAGGAAACTAATGTTTTGAATAACTGAACTTACTTAGACCTTGGCTTCTTGTTTTGAAAGATTATTTGATTCTTTCATGAAGCCTAAATGTAAAAATTTGGAAATAGCTAACCCAGGAGCTCTACTATAAAAGATCCACCGATTGCTTAGCGGGCTTATAGCGCTAAAATCTGGTTTCGATACCCGCATTAGGCACAGAACGGATAGCTCATTGTGTAGCGTTGTTCTCAATAACATACCTATCAATAAAATTATCGAATGCCCTGCCATCTAGTGAGAAGTTGAGAAAGATTTTGACTATTTCTAATAAAGAAGTTTTACAAATAATTTACCATTTACAAACACTCAAAGATAAAAAAAAAAAAAGACTGATGATAAAGATGGAATTTACCAAATCAGTTGTAGTTGCTGTAAAATGTACACAGGACAAATAAAAAGGAAATTAAAACGAGATTTAAAGAACACTAATGCGAAAATGTAAATATCTTAAGAAATGCACAAACAAACACAGAAAGGAACTTAAAAGAGAGTATTTATATAATTAAAAATAGATGTGCGCATATAAATAAAGACGACGGGCCAATCAACATGTCCCATTGGAATACTTATTTAACTAAAGTTATTCCCACATTTACATGAACTCACCCATTAATGGTTTGTAGCTGAATATATTCTAAGCCAACACACTATAGATGTTCACCTTGATGATGGTAACTGGTTTACCGAAACTAGTCGGCTGTAAGTAATAATAAATATTTTACCTTTCACTGTGCCAAAAAACACAATGTGCCTGAAGAGTAATATCAAAATAATATGTTTGTCATAAACTTTATACTCCTAAATAGTATATTTAAACCAAATGGCCATACTTTCACCGGAAGGATAGTCTTAAACAGTCAAGAACTGACTGAGCTCTGAACTAAAAATTCGTACTTTAAAAGAAAAAAAAACAACTCATAGTCATTCTATGAGCCGCTATGTCACAGCTAAAAATTAAACAAAATTTGAATAGCTAGAAACATGACCAAATAATGTCACACTATAACAAATATTAAGAAAATGCCCTGCGGACAAAATATACAATTTAAAATATTACCACTACATCACACATAAGACACAGCCTTTGAATATTTTGCAATGTTTTTCTACAAAAGATAAGCAAAAATAACATCAACATGGAACAAAGAAACAAGAAAAAAAGAGCATAACGTCAAAGTGTATAACAAATGATATTCTTTATCTAAAACAAACTCAGTAAATTTAGATAATGTAAAAAACACGAAATCATGTAAAGATTTTGACGTAATATTAAAAGATAGAAAAATACAATTTATAAAAACACATTACTGTAAAGTTGTGGAACTTAATGAAAGTCTTCAACTATCATTCTTACATTAAACTCTAAGCATATTGTCTCGTACTGATGAAAGTTACGTTGTTGTTGCTTAGTTTAGAAGTTGTTTATTGAATCTTTTTAGTTAGGGGGAGTTTTTATGTCACCCAATGAGCGCATGAGCGTCTGGAATTATCTTTAAAGTTTAGGAAACTATTTGAACTGTATTAAACTGAAGTTAGGTTAGAATAGAGTTTAGGGTTTTTACATTGATGTAACTTACCTAGGTAATTTTAGCTGTTAGATTAATCGGAAGGAATGTGTATTTTAGCAATCAAATAATATAACTTGATCATAGCTTACACTGGAATGAATCAAAACGGATCAATAGAGTCCAAGTATAATTCTGAGAATTCTGTAAGGACATTTTATGTTTTTAGTAAAATATACAGTTAAATAGAAGTGAATTAAGTTAACACACATTTTATACTGGGGACGCGAAACGCACAGACGGTAACAAACACCTTTAGAGTCGACTAACTGAAACGAGCATATTTAGGACTATGACTTACATCAGTGCATGCTGTAGTAGAGTTTTGTTTTAAAAGCTCGGATCAATTATTTAAGTAATTATGACAATGATATGTACAAAGACTGGGGAGGCACAGAGTGTGGATCGAAACCATAAAAAGACTAAGTGTTTTTCGAGAAGTGAGCCGTGTGGTCAGATTAATTTCGCTAAATTAAAAGATTGACGCCAAACAGATTAAAATGTGATGATAATACTAAGAAACTCCGGAGGACGAAACGTCAGAGAAGTCACGAAACAGGAAACCTAACAGTGCGAGTTCCATCAGAAGAAGCCCTGGCATGGCCAGGTGGTTAGGGAGCTGGACTCGCAATCTGCGGGTCGCGTGTTCGAATCCCTGTCCCACCAAACATGTTCGCCCTTTCAGCCGTGGGGCGTTATAACGTGACGGTCAATCCCACTATTCGTTGTTAAAAGAATAGCTCAAGAGTTGGCGGTGGGTAATGATGAATAGCTGCCTTCCCTCTAGTCTTACACTGCTAAGTTAGGGACGGCTAGCGCAGATAGCCCTCGTGTAGCTTTGCGTGAAATTTAAAACAAACAAACAAAAAATCCACCAGAAGGCAGACCTTAAATATTTAAATTTGCTCCAGAAGAAGAAAGGTTTATTGCTCGGATTCTTTCTTGTTAAGACCAACAAAAAAAACACATTCATTTAGTGGTAACAACCGAGTGTCCGTGTTACTGCTAGGATTATGATATAAAATAGATGATAATGATTACTAAGTATGTTACAGTGGTGATTATTGAGTTTGTTAGTCAGTTCGTTTATTAGTTTAGTTTTGTGAATATTGGGTTTGAGTTTCAACGAATTACTTGGTATAAAAGAAAGTATCGTGAGTACAAGAGAAGTTAGCAAGTAAATGAAATTGTTGTATTGGCGTCTGCTGTGAATTTCGGCTTATCATGGAGCAATAGTAAAGATAACTCGTAGAACTAGAAGTTCAAGAAATAAAACACTTTCGTTATCATTAAGTAAACTGAACTTTGCATTTTTCTATTCATCAATAATCCAAAAGAACCCACCCAACAATAAAGACCATTACAACAATGTGTAACTTTTAATGGTTGGAGACGGCTTGAATGGGTAATGAAAAACTTTAATATAAGTTTAACACAATAGCAAATGTACAACGTTTCGACAATATATGATAACAAATTCGTTACAAGTGCCTCATTAGAGAATTAAAAATTGGCTTTAGACAATTTTGAACTAAGATATTATATATAAATATATATATATTGACAACATTACATTAAATATAATACATCATTCAAAAGATTACAAAACTTTAATAATAATTACAGTATAGAACACATCCAGTACAAATCACCTTATGATCCTAAAATTACATAGTACATGAAAGCACATCGGCAAAAATGTTATCAACCCTTATGACATGGATTATCTTCAAACCATATTCTCATAGTGAAAAACTGCTATTATGTTTTTCTTTTCTTTCTTTCTTCTTTTCCTTTCTTTCTTTCTTTTTATTTGTTTCTTTGTTTCTGGCTTTTTCTTTCTTTGTTTTTCTTTCTCTCTTTCTTTCAGTCTTTTCTGTCTTTCTTTGTTTTTCTTTATTTCTGTCTTTTCTGTCTTTCTTTCTTTCTTTTTCGTTCTCTATTTCTTTCTGTCTTTCTTTCTTTCTCTTTCTCTCTTTCATTTTATTTTCTTAATTAGATATCCCATAGTGGGTAACAATACCAAGACCATATCCTTAGGAAGGAACTCATGTTCTTCAAAAGCTGGGATAGGTTTCAAAGGGGCAACAGTAAGTTTTTGGTTAGATTCTCTGACTAATTGACAGGTATGACAAGTTTTAAAAAAACTGAGAAACGTCTTGCCTAATTTTTGTCCAAAAGAAATGTCTCATACTTTTGTCACATGCCTTGCTGCCACCTAAATGACCTCCTATGGGGAGTTCATTATTTCAGAATGATATGCTTTGGGAACAACGATTTGGTAAACAATAGCCCAGTCCTCTGAAGCTGGCACATCTGGTGGTCTCCATTTCCTCATAAGCATACAAAAAATAACCATTTGGAACTTTCTCCAGTTCATCTTTTGGGAGTGCATATTTAAATAGAGAATAGATCTTCAGATATTTTTCTTGTTCAGTGATCAATTTACTTTTAGTAAATGAAACTTCATTAGATCAATAAAATCCCTCACGTCCATCGTTGTCCCTCACCGAGAAATCACCAGTAGAACAATTATCCACATGATCCTCGTCGGATCCAAAAAATGTCTGAGACAAATCTATAACATCGTCCTCTGAATCCATGTCTATAATTTGTTTTGGCTTAATTTTTTAGCTTGAGCTCGAGTCACAGCACACAAGGGAATCACATGATCGGCTCACTAACCATTTTAGGTTTGGCAACAACTTTTCCCCAGCCAAAT